CTCTCTGCAACCTCCACCTCTCAGGTTCAAGCAATTCTCCAGCCTCAGCCTCTCAAGTATCTGGATTACAGCCATGCCCCACCACGCCGCCCCGCTAATTTTTGTATATTTAGTAGAGATGGGGTTTCACCATGTTGGCCAGGCTGGTCTCCAACTCTTGGCCTCAAGTGATCCACCCACCTAGGTCTCCCAAAGTGCTGGGATTACAGGTGTGAGCCACCGCGCCCAGCCATGTGAGGAGGTCTTTGGAGAACAGCTAGGCAGTCTGTAGGATGGATGAACACGAGGCTCCTAACTCCCCCCCAGTTACACCTAGGAAGCCACAGCACACGTGCACCACCCACGCATGCACTCACATACAAGCTCACACTCACATGCACACTGACATGCTCACACACTCATGTTCACATGCACACACAATTGCACACGCTCACGCAGACACATTAATATTTACAAACAGCTGGGTGCTCACACATATTCATGTTCAGCACATGCACACATTCATATGCACATGTAGGCACACTCACACGCACACACACACACATCCCTGCCGTGCCAGCGCTCGCCCTGTGCAGGGGAAGATCCCCAGGCTAGCCCCAGCTCCTGAGGAGGGAGCCAGGTGGAATGGAGGAGGCCCTGTGGACCCTCCAGCCTGCTGGAATCCCCTCCTCTCTCACCGACTCCCGAAGCCTCTGCACACATTTGGAACCCCTGTCCCCCGCCCTGCAGCCTCCCGTGCATGGAGAGCAGCTCTGACGGTGCCTGCCAGGGAGAGGGACAAGGGGCTGCCAGGCCCACCCCCCCAGGAAGGTGATCCAGAAACAACCCGTGGCCACTTGGATGAGCACCCCTCAGCTACACACATGGGGCTTCCCACCTCCTCACCCCATCCCCCCACCCCGCCACAGCCCACAGCCCGCTCCTCCGGCTGTGAGGCGCCCTGATCAGGGCTCCCTCCCTCCTGCAGCCCCCAGGCTGCCAGCGCAGCAGCTATGCGGGGAGACGCTGGGTGATGGGGAGGGAACTGAGAGACCCCTTCGGGCAGAGTGGGATGCAAGGGAGGGGTCCTGGGAGGGGGGTCTGGCGGGGCGGGGCGACGCGGGCAGGGCAGGGCAGGGCGGGGGTCAGAGGGAAGAGGTCGCGGAGGGAGGAGGGCCGGCGGGCGGGGCGGGGCGGCCGGTTACCTTCGCAGATGCGCCAGAGCCCCGAGTGCGTGCGAGGAGAGCTGCTTTGCGCGCCCCGGCCCGGAGCTGTGATTGCCGGCGTCCGCCACCTCCAGAACGGACCAGCAGTCGCTGGTGACCGCGACTGCCAGGAGCGCGAAGCTGAGCAGCGCCCCAGCCGGGTAAGGAGGGCGGCCGGCGGGTGGGGACCGGGCGGGGGCAGCGGGGCCGGGGTCGGCGGGGGATGCGCGGAGCCGGGTTGGGGGGGTGCGGGAGCCGGCA